TTTTTTTTTGTCGTTGATGTTTTTTTTGTTTTGATTTTCTTTTTTTCTAAAAGCGGAAATGTGATCATGCAATAGTTTTAAGGACTGAAAGGAGGTTACTGTATACAAAGGCCTCTGGAACGTTTGGGCCTCATGTTTGCATCATCAGAAGTGGGACAGTTATGTCATCACTCCATCTATGAATCATCTTCATGCTAACCAATGATGTCACTGCTGCCCCACAGAGATGACACAGCAGCTGTGTTTTGTAAGACTCATGACTTGCCCGTAGTGTCATGAGTAACTAGTGCGTTTTCGAAATTATGCCTTGGAAGTGAGCATTGTCAAAATGTCGGCTTTTTTTTGTTCGTTTGTTTTTTGTTTCGTTCTATAGGGCAGAGTTCGCCACTTCAGGCTCATCCTGGACTTGAATTCTAAGTCATCTCAGTCCGCACTAGTTCTTCCAGCAGCCTAAAGAGTCTCAATTCTGTCCCCCCCCTCCTCGCCCTCACCATACGGCATAATAGAACAAGAAAAGGAAAAAAAAAAAAAAAAAAAAAAAGCACATTATCATCTCCAGTGCCTCTCTGCCCACCTTCAGACACCACTGTAACTCCGCTTCAGATGTAAACATATGGGCATGGTTCAGTTTTAATGGCTTTAATAATAAAATACAGTCAAATGTGGACGTCTGGTTTGTTTACGTGTTTATTCTCAAAGGGGGGGGGGGCTTCTATTTTCTACAGAGAAGGGCACACAAGAAGTCTGTAAAACAGTCGCGTTGGGCAGGACGGTGTAAAAGGGGTTTCGGGCGGGATCCAGCCGGGGCGTCACTGAGCGTGAACCAGAGCTCCGGCCCCCTGACCGTAGCCAAAGCCTTTGGGCCCGAAGTTCTTGGCATAACATGCTGCAGAGTAAAGAGGTGAAGCATAAACAGTCAACATAAAACGGTAGTGCATTGTTATGGTTATGTGGTACCTGTTGACACATTGAGTCAAATGACAACTTCTGAATCTTTGAGGGAGAACTTAGAGGCCTACAGTGTCCTGCCAAAGGAATTCGCTCAACCACCCAAATAATCGGACTCTGCGTGTTCCGATCATGGTCCATGGCCACAGGTTTATAAAACCAAGCCCCCAGGAATGCAGACTTTTTCTAAAAATCACTGTTCCAAAAAAAATGGTCGCTCTCGGGAGCTTGGTGAATCACTCCTAACTATCAGTGGGATTGGTGTTGGTGGCATCGATTGGGAACGCCAGGAGCAGTTTGGAGTCGGCCACTTCCTCTTCCAACATGACTGAGCACCCGATGGCTAAAGAATGGGATGTCATTTAAATTCAAGTGTGAGTTAAGGCGGCTGACCGAATACTTTTGGGAATACTGTATAGTGTATCTTGATCCCATCTCCTCGTATGGATATTATATGGACTATTATATCGGAATGCTGTCTGAAAACATTCTTACAATAAGAAGCTCTGCCTTTTTTAATAATTTTTTAACAAGTGCAAATCCATATCTATGTTTTATGGCATGGCAAATGATTCCATGATTAACTTTAGATTGTTGTTTCAGTTGAATTGATTTAAACTGATGTTCCATTAAAGGCGGGCGTGATGCGCCTGCTACAGGACAGTCTGCCGGAGAGAGACCACGGAGCGGTACCGGCAGCAGGGCTCCATCTCCGGAGCCGGGACGCGACATTCCCCACTCGTCAGCGCAGTCTTTCATTGTGACGTCCAGTCAGCCTCCATCTGCTGCCGTCCAACATCTCTGTGACTCACTGCGTATGTGTGTGTATGTGTGGGTTTCCAGTTAACCTAACTATTCATTTTCATTGTGGCGAGAAGAAAATCCATCGTGGATGTCGGGTGGCTGGTGTTTCGGAATACAGTCCCACTCTTGTGCTGGCTGTGTTCCTATACTTATTAGCCTTATTTTTCCCCCTTGCATGCTCACATCAGGCTGTAGTTTGTAGTAATCTATTTTCGTACTAAACAGATATGACTGGTTTCCCCATTTCATTCTAAAGTGTTTTATATCAATTCGAAATTAGTGCAGGATGCAAGAGCTCTTGCGTCCCGAAAAGATTCCATTGCAGCTTGGCTTCCACCCTCGGCTGGCGTGCTAATATTTACCAGCTGGATCTACATTTTCACTCAAAACTCCCATCAAAAAGGTCTTAAGTGTTAGAGCTTCTTGTTCACCAGGCAGCCACGACAGAGAGA